AATTTGTGCCAGGCTTTCTCTTCCCTTTTCAACCTTCCTGCTGTAGAACAAAAGCGGAGGGCTGGGATTGAGTGTCAGCCTTGCGGGGTTGTGGGTGCGTGAAGAGGGAAAGGGGACGGTTGGTAAAGCTGCTGGCACACCCGACCCTTTTAGAGGATGGAGTTGGGAGGCTTTTACCCACTTCATGTCCTGAGATGCAGCTTCATGCTCTGGAACCTCAGTCGTTGCCCACCCAGGCTTCCAGATCATGGAGACACCGAGCTTTGCCAGTCTCAGCCTGGTGGCCCTTCTGTCCTAGGTCCTCTGGCCCTAGGTCTCCATCTGTCTTGTGTTATTTTCATAGGTGACCTCCCCAGTGGAGTCCCTCTCTAAGTCTGAATCCACGTGCACCCCCTTAGGCCCTTACAAAGGATTCAGGTGACATCAGACAGATCACCTTGAGCTCCCTGGGGCAGCCTCTCAGCTGAAAGAAAAAAATTGGCTTGAGAAGGTTACCTCCAGGATTCATGAACCTCACACAGGTTGGCAAGGTGCTTCCATAGTGCCCTGTTCATAGTAAATGCTCAGGACCAGCCATTAAGGTTTACTGGAGCTCAGAACGGAAAAAGAGAAAGGAGCTTTTGGTCTGAATGACATGCATTTGTCACACCGTGCTGTAGAGCCCCAGCAGGGAAAGCCACGGTGTCTGGGACGATGCCACTCACCTTTAATTCTGCCAGGCTTTCCTTCCTTTTTCAACCTTCCTGCTCTGCAGGGAAAGCAGAGGGTTGGGCGTTTCAAAAACCCACTGAGTGCATTGTCCCAACTGCCTCCGTTTACAGCCTTTCCGTCATTTCTGGGAACAAGGTGTGCTATAAATAAGTGGATCATTTGGGAAATCCCACCCTGCCTTCTGGGTCTCCTGCATTCGCTGACTCAGACCGCTATTACCTTCATGTGCCGCTCACTGCCCGCCAAGCGAAGGGAGACCCTAGGCCCTGCTCTCCCAGCTCTGGAACTCTTCCACTCTTTTCAAAGTGGGAGGGGAGGGAAGGAGGAAGAGGTCTTCTGGGTTTTGGTGGAAGGTAAGTAGGGACTCTGTGATTTTCTACTTATAGTGTCCCAAATCTCCCAGCTCCAGGGGTGCTGCTGCACAGCCTCTCTTTTCTAGAGGGGCCCTCTCCCACTGTCTACTCCAGACATTCTCTGCCTTTGAGCCCTTCTGGATATCTGAGCATGTCAGACCCCAGAGCACCTATTTTTGGAAGACAATCACGTGGGCTGTGATCCCTGTGCCTCCATTTCCTATTTTCAGGGTCTTGGGGTGTTCCATGCCGAGCCTCAGTTTCATCGTCTGTCAAATGGGTGAATCTGCCACCCCTGCTTTTCACAGACGCTGTAAGGGTTGGCAAGAGAACTTCCACTGGGCTCTGAGTGTCCACAGCTGGTGCTATTATAAGATGATTGTTTTTCTGTCTTTTGGAGCACTTACTCATGGGACACCTGAGGCAGATTAACTTACAGGGCTTCAGTTTCCTAGTTTGCAAAATGAGAACGACAAAGGTTTCTATTGCTTAGGGCTGCTGTGAGGACGAAATGCCTCAATACATTTTAGTTATTAACATTATTATCATCTTTGTCTCCAGTGTTTTTAGGTTGTCAGTAAGGTGACAGGCTAAGTCCTTCATCTTTTCACCCGGGCTCTTCTCAAACTTGCTACACATGGGGTTGAATCATATATATGTATGTAACACACACACATTATGTGTGTGTGTACCGTCTTGGAAGTGATGCAGACATTTGGAAAGGTGACACCGGTTACTGTTAACTCTGGTTCCTACGTTTTACTGTCAGCGGGGAAGGTCGTGTGGATGGCTGGGGGGCAGCGCGAGGACCTCTTGTCTCTCACCCCTCAGCCTTTTTATCTGAGGCCGTTTTTCTCACCAGTGCCTGGGCTCCCATCTGCCTTCCTGAGGAGCACACATGTGCTTTGTTCCAGAACTGGGAACGGGGCTGTCTGCCCTCATCTCACGGGGAACCCCTTTTCTGCTCGAGCCTCAGAGTTGGAAACTCCAGTCCTTCCGGAGCGTCCGGGCAGGCCAGATATCAGGCTTTTCCTGCAGGCTGGGAGGTGAGCACTCACCAAGGGACTTCTCACATGACGAACTTGTTTGGATCTGAGGCTTATGAATCTGCAGGGAACGTTCAGTGTCCCCATCTGGCTCTCTGGGACACTGGTTCTAGACGCCCAGCCGGCCGTCTCGCAGGCTCCGCTGCCCTCCGCAGGGCCTTCGCTCGGTCCTCAGCCAACAGAGCTTCCGCACGAGGGCGCATCCGCTCTCGGACGCCGAGGGCTACAGAGCGCACTCCCCGGAAATATGGAAATTGCCCCAGCGCGGGTTTCCTTCTAACGCAGGCCCCTCCTGGGCTCAGGTTACAAACTCATCAATCACCGGGGAGCCTGGGATTCAAACTCGCGCCGAGCCAGGCTGGGGCGCAAGGCGCGGAGTTCTGCAGCTGAAACCTCCCAGAGACTTTGGACACTTCTGCAAACGCGCGGGGCTGGGTGTGCGTCTCCAAACCACGGCTAGGATGTGGGCATTTGCGTTTTGTTGTTGTTGTTTTGGGTTTTTTGCTTGCGCTCGCTCTCTCTCTCTCTCTCTCCTCTTCTCTCTCCTCTTCTCATCTCTCTCTCTCTCTCTCCCTCCCTCCTTTCCTCCCCAATCTCTCTTTCTCTCTTCCTTTTCTTTCCTTTACTATCGGTGCCCCGCCCACCAGCCGCCGGAGTCTCCGCCCGCGTCCCGCCCATTACCAAATCGGGCAGTGTTTATTATTGTACAAATTTAAGCTAAGCTCGGATTTGCCTTAGAGTTTAGAAGACGCGCCGGGACGGCGGGCGTTTCGGTAGAGGCAGGGATGTGGGTACTGGTCTTCGAGTGCCGCGGGGGTAGCTCCAGGAGGGGCTGTGGGGTACGAAGGTGGGGAAGGGGTTGCATAGTGACATCGGCTTATCTCTCGGTCTGGGTTTGCTGGAGCGAGAGCCAAGGCTGGAAACGGAACTGGATCCAAACTTGAGCTTGCTGGAGGCCATCGGCCCCGAAGAGGTTGGGTGACCCCAGAGACTGTGGGGCCCACGGGTTGCAAAGGCGTGGGCATTGAGGTTTCTTCACTCCAAGGTTGAAAGGGGTGCGCGGGTGACAAAGAGTAGTCACGAAAGGGCAACGCCCCGCCCCTCCTGGCAGAGGTCCACCTCTAGGATCTAGGCGGGCCCGGCCGGACTGCCCACCAGCCCCACGTTAGAGGAACTGGGCTGCGGAGAGAGTCGGGGTGCCCAAGGGGCTGGCCTGTCGCTCCCACAGGCAATGCCGATACCCAGACCGGTTTTTCCACCCGTACTGCGACTTCCTTTTTGGTATTTTAAATTTACCTGTTTCCCTGCGGTCTCTTTATTCCATGGGTCGGGTAGCCGGGACCCCCAAACACAAGGGTTATTTCTGGTTTTCTCATTCTGAAGTGGGATGCCCGCCACGTTTCTGGGTTCAGAGGCTATCTGGGCACTCACATCCCTAGTCGGGTCCCCAGCCGGGTGTGGCAGCGACAGACACTCGCCCCACTCCTGTGAATACACTCGGTGCCTCTCCTTCCTGGCCCACCGGCACTGGGCCATTTCTACACCCACCTGCCATCTTCACCCTTCCCTCCTCTCTTTGGCATGCTCACGCGACTTACTCAATGAGACGCCAGTTACCCCGAGTGTGTGTGTGTGTGTGTGTGTGTGTGTGTGTGTGTGAATATTCAGGGGGAGATCATAAACAGGAATTAGTCACACTAGGTACCCTTTTACCCCTGCCCTAACGGCCGGAGTGGGAAAGAGAAGCCTCCTTCGAAATCAGCATGATTCAGTATTTTTTTTATTCAAACAGTGACGTGGGAAATTGTAAAATGTGATGGGGATGGGGGGCCGCATACACCCTAGGGTGGGTGGATGCGGGGAGAGCAAGCAGCCTTCCCAAATGCCTAATGTAATCACGGGCCAGCTGCATGCACTTGTAAAGTTGTTATAACCCCCTCCTTGTTATAAACAGGAAAGCCCAGAATATAAAGCTGGAGACCCACATTCACAAATACCAGGCCTCCCGCGCCAGCTGCCACGGCCTCCTTTTATGGTGTTCCTCCTTTGCAACCTTGGCCCCTTCAGGAGGACCTTAGCTTTACCCCCGATTCTCCAAATGGATTTATTTTGAAATCATCCTCAATGGAGCTGGAGACCAGGTGCTCTCCCCAGGTCCCCAGTGCCCTAGGCCTTCCCTTGCAGAGAGGCTGGGCTCCCAAAGTCCACTTCCCTTTGATTTTCAGGGAGCCCTGGAAAGGACGGTGTGGCAGAGCAGGTCCCTAGAGAGTGCAGCGTCCTACGGGCTCTGCCACCTGTTTTTCCAAGGAGGACTGCACCTCCTTCTCAGCGGACACTCAGGCTTCTTAGACACCCTCCTGCCGCAATCTAAACGGTTCCTAGGACCTCGAAAAGCATTTTCTAGACTGTGGCATCTCCACATCTCCGGTTAAGCCTGGGAGAAGAAAAGGCCTTTTGTGGGAGGCCCCGAGGTTATGGGGCTCCCCCAGGCCAGCATAAAACTCATCCCTGCATACCCACCCCAGTCTCCACCTCTCCTTCCTGCCTCGGCAGACCCTGCTCCAGCCACCCGGGTCTACATCCTGCTTCACTGACTGTGTGTGCTTACAGCGTCAAGGGGTGGACGTGATATTTCAAACATCAGATCAGTGCGTTTATATATTGGGTGCCCGGAAATTTTTCCAAATAAACACAGCTTGATTCAACTTGGGTGGGCGGACTTATCAACAGACTAATTCTATAAACAAATGAAGGAATAGCCCCAAAACCGATTGGCTGGTATCAAAAAGACACGTGGAGGGAAAAGCTTGGAGTTTTTCAGCAATGAAATTTTAATTAATGTGGGTGGGCTGAGAACACAAGGACTGTTTATCATAGACAATTTATTTTCCAGCGCTAAGTCAACATATAACAGCAAACTTACAACAATTATTTAACATTTTTAAAGCCATGAAGAAGGGACAGAGCTCGGAGCGGCGGGGGAGAGCGTCGGAGCCAGAGGCAGAGGCACGGCGGGCTCCCCAGGAGGGCCCTTGCGGCGCGGGGCGCTGTGCCTAAGCCGCCCGAGTCGCCTGCGTGGCGGGGAGCACAGCGCAGGCTCTCGCTTGCCATGAGCCACCTCTTCGATCCCCGGCTGCCTGCCCTGGCCGCCTCGCCCATGCTCTATCTGTACGGCGCTGAGAGACCCGGGCTGCCTCTAGCCTTCGCCCCAGCAGCCGCTCTGGCTGCCTCGGGCCGGGCCGAGACTCCGCAGAAGCCTCCCTACAGCTACATTGCGCTCATCGCGATGGCGATCCAAGATGCGCCCGAGCAGAGGGTCACGCTCAACGGCATCTATCAGTTCATCATGGACCGCTTCCCATTCTACCACGACAACCGGCAGGGCTGGCAGAACAGCATCCGCCACAACCTCTCGCTCAACGACTGCTTTGTCAAGGTGCCCCGCGAAAAAGGGCGGCCGGGCAAGGGCAGCTACTGGACGCTGGACCCCCGCTGCCTGGACATGTTTGAGAACGGCAACTACCGGCGCCGGAAGAGGAAGCCCAAGCCGGCCCCCGGGGCTCCAGAGGCCAAAAGGCCCCGCGCGGAGACTCACGAGCGCGGCGCGGAGGTTCAACCGGAGACGGGGAGCGGGGAAGGGGGCTCCGGCCCAGCGATCCCCAGCCTGGAGGGCGCGCCCGCCGGCCCCTCGCCTCACCTGGATGACCCCTCTCCGTCGGCGCCCCTCCACTGGCAGGGGACCGCGTCCCCAGACAAGGACCCCGGTGACGCTGTCCAGGGCGCAGCGGTCGTGGCGGTCGGCCAGTCAGGGCGCACGGGGGACGGCCGGGGGTCCCCCGTGCGCCCCGCCTCCCGAAGCTCTCCGAAGAGCTCCGACAAGTCCAAGAGCTTCAGCATAGACAGCATCCTGGCGGGAAGGCAGGGCCAGAAGCCGGCTGCAGGGGACGAGCTCCTGGGGGGCGCCAAGCCGGGGCCCAGCGGCCGTCTGGGCGCCTCGCTCCTGGCCGCCTCCTCCAGCCTCCGTCCGCCTTTCAACGCTTCCCTGATGCTAGACCCGCACGTCCAGGGCGGCTTTTACCAGCTCGGGATCCCCTTCCTCTCCTATTTCCCCTTGCAGCTCGCCGACACGACACTCCACTTCCAGTAAAGCAAACAATGACGCGGTTCTTCTCCCTGGCCGGGCCTGAGCCTCCCCTGTGCGAAAGGCCTCAGCTCTCAAGGGCCGGGGATTTAAAAATGATCTTTGCCTGGGTCGGCCTGTGGGTTCAGGAAAGTGTTACCAACCATTGCGCGCAGGTGGGTGCGCTCGCCTGACTTCGAAGCAAACTTTTCCCAGCAACCCGGCGTGGCTACGGAGACTTAAAAGACTCAGTCCCCGCGGGGTCGTGGGCACCGTAGGGACCTCTACCGCAGGAGATTCCTTGACCTTTGGCCTGCCTAACGGAGTGGTCTTCAGCCGCCCACCACAGGTCCTGTCCGTCCCGGACCTGCGAGGGCCCGAAGATCACCCAAGGCAGGCCTTAGTAGAGGCTCAATATGGTCCTTTCGACCGGGGACCCTGTATGACTTTAGACTGCTTCGCTGTTGCCATGTGGCTCAGGTCTTGGTTTTGAGCCCATCTGTGTGGTGGGTGGACACAGCTGGGTTTGTCCCTGACTTGAAGTTGTGGAAGTGCTCGGGGTGACCCCGGGTTTTCAGGTTTTCTGGGAGGTGCAGGGCCGGGTGAGGATTTGTTACCAATGTTCAGGTACAGAAGCTGATAAACCGCCCAGAGCAGTAACACTTGTATTTTAAACAGAGAATTTTTCTCTTAATTTCTTTCCGGGTAGTAAAAAAAAAAATCATGTTTTATTCTTTGCATTAATACTTGACTCTAAGCCTTTGAAAACGCCTGTATTAACAACTTTGATTAAGAACGTGCACTCTATATAACGTATTCTTGCATTATGATAGCTCATTAGCCAATACACGTGCAGCAATGTAACCAAGACAGCAGACGTCCTATCTTTTTGCTTTTGTTTTTAAGGGATCAAAATATTTCAAGGGATACCATGAGGAAGGGTGTGAGGGGGAGGGGATATGTCTCAGACAGTGTCAGAGTTTTGATTGCCATGTTGTTTTTTTTTAAGATCCAGTCTTGCTTGTTGCTATATTTTTCAGAATCAGATAATGAAGGACTACATTTATAAAAAGTTAGATGAAACAGCCAAAAAGCAGATGCAGAGAGAGAGAAAGAGAGAGAGAGAGAGACAGAGAGAGAGAGAGATGAATGTGGGGGACAGAATAAGGGGACCTGCTGGTGTCCGCTGGAAGGGGCTTCTCTGAGCCCCAGAGGACCTGAGTCTTGATGGCAGGAATCTCCCAGACACCCAGTCTCTGTATCCCTTCTGCTGTACGCTCGTCCCTCCAGCCCTGCCTGGCAGTCCAGGAGGCTGATGCTAAATCAACACCTTAAAGAGGTAACTGGCAGTCAGGGGAGGGGAGCAGAGGGCTGCGACAAAAATCTAATGAAGCACATTGAGATGTTCACAGCCCAGTTCAGCCCGCAACTTTGGGGAGAGGCACCCAGCCTGTACGGCATCTCTAGCTGGGTCATCTTTGAGGTCCTGAAATGCAGTTTTGTGAAAATTCAAGTAACTTTCATTTTATGTCATGTGAGAAAGACACTCACAGTCACACATTCTTGGAAGTAGGCTGGGAGGGAGGTCTTTCAGATAGCCTTTAAAATGGTTTCCAGAACTTATCTAAAAACAATGACAACTTTGAATCCAGCGGGCCTGTTGGTCAGTGTGTTGAAAGGACATTGCAGGCAGGCAGAGTCACTGAATAATTCATAGACACAGAGGTGACTTTTGGAAAATTCATTCTTATAGCCATGCTGAAGCAGGCTTCCACAACTGGGTTCCACCCAGGCCAGTGGGAAGACTCTGGGAAACTGCAGCCTATCCTTGATTGGAAGAACTTCCAGGAGATATCATTGCTGAGATCCAGGTTCACTGTGATTAACTGAAAATGTGGTGGAAGGGCTGTCACTGGATATTTTGTTTTCCCAAACCCTCAGCCTCTGTGAATAAAGTTGTTTTTTCATTAACCTCTCAGTGACTGGTTCAGTGGATTACTGGAGGGAAATAAACAAACAGCGTAATAAGAAAGAGGAGACTGGGATTATATTTGGGAGTTGTGTTAGCATCTCAGGAGGCTCTGGCTTCTGAGGGGTAAACACACAGATGGAGGGGAAGGAGTGGAGAGGATGCCAGCTCTCAAAGGTGCCTGGATATCAAAGCACGATGAGTAAATCTGCTGTATTGAATCAGTTTTTAATCTTTTCTTTTTTGTGTTTGATATGCTATCTTGGGGGTTTTGTTAATTTGTGGTGGCTAAGTTTTGAAGAAGCCAGTAATCTGATAACTGCAACTTTAAAAGGATCATATTTAAAGTCACCATTCTAAAAAGTATTGTACAAACATTTTTATGACACTGAAAAATGCAGATGTATCCACTTTTGTGTTTATACATGTATAAAGAGAAATTCTACTTAATCTCCACTTTCATCTGGTTTAGGAAAGCTAAGAGAAATGGATAGTGAGGTCATTTTTATATAATCTATATAATTTCACGTGTACTCCTTCCTCCGAAACCCAAAAAGAGGAACTTCGGCTCTTACCAATCTGAATAGGTGTTCTATTGATCCAGATTTAATCGTTGGCTCAAAATTATGGCTTAATAAGGTCAATAGTTTCTGCTCTTAATTAAAACAGAATCTCAGCTATGATTAGGATGAGCCAGAAGCAAGCTTATCATCGGACTCTTACGCAATCTGAAGGAATACCTCTCTGCTCTCATCTAAACAAAGAGAACAGATCTGTCTTCTGTAAATGACTTTTGGTTCAAGCCCTGATTACACACACATACACACACACACACACACACACACACACGTGTGCATGGATGAGGATATGGCAGATACATGTGTAATAACTGTATACATATGTATACATTTATATATGTATATGCATATATATGAAAACATGAATGTGTAGGGGTGTGTGTGTGTGTATTTGTTCTGTGCACATGAATGCTCACAGACTTAGATCAAGTACTGAGAACTTTCACATTAACCCAAGTATTGTTACTATTTGAAAGATTTTTTTCTATATAGTTTTTTAAAATAGGTATAATTTCTATATTGCTTTAATAGTTTTATTTCTCTATGTAGTAACATAGAGAAACCAGGGGTGACTTTATTGTTCTGTGTTATTGTAGTGAAACAAAAATATTTTATTTAAAAATCCTGGAAGACATACCAGCTTTGAGAACTTTTCCCTCTGTTCACAAGGACAGAGAGCTTTACAAAGGACTCTTGCTCTGCCTGGCCTCATGTAGTTGCTGGCTCTTCTAGAAGCCAATGGCCTCCTATGTCTCCAATGAACCATAAGATTTTTGAAACAGGTTCCTGGAAAGGACCTGTTTAGCCATTTTCAGATTTAAACGTGCCTGTTTGAATGGTGGTCTTTACCATTTCACTCAAAGTGGTGAGCATATACCTGTGTGTGTGTTAAAGAATCAGCCACATATAATCATTGTTACTGCTGGAAGCCAGAGCCAGGCTGCCCAGGCACTGGCAGGTTAATGTTAATGCCACAAAAGCGAGTGACATTTCCAGTAACCAGGTGCGCCCAGGAATGAGAAAACTGGGGGAGAGCCACAATTTTGTACCCTTCCTGTCTTCATGGTGGCTGAAGTTTTGCTTTCACAAAATAAAGGTTGTTTCATGGAATGAAAAACATAAATGATAAAAAGCAAAGTTTGTTATTAAAAATAAAAAGCATGAGTTTCTTGTGAAAATAAGATTATTTTGACCTACATTTAAAGCAGTGTTTAAAATATGCCTGGATAAGCACATGGCAAGCTCTCTCCTCTGCTGGTCCTTATCCAGAGGTCCCAATGCTGAGTTCTCTACTCCAGGGTTCAGGCAGGGGCCATAAGTGTTTATAGTGACCTGGTGTGGAGCTTGATCACTGGAGTGGGCACTGGTGGGGCTTGGGCTGGGCTAGGGTGGGGGAAGTTCTGTCCCTTCAAATTGGCATCCAAATGCCAATTGCACCGGGCAAATCAAATGTGTGGCTTATAGGCCAGAAGTGGAGTTAAGCTCAGGCTCTACACCTTGGGGTGCAAATGAAATCTGGGGGGACACGGTCAACTCAGGTGTCTTTACACACGCAATGAGAGAGGAGGGAGCAATGAGACAAAGATTTGGTCCCAACCTGTTTTTTTCCATTAGGTACAAGAATCGGGGTCCTGGCAGGAAATAGAAATCCACTTAAATGAGTCCATGGAATGGATCGGGGTGGAAGGACTATTTATGGAGGCGTGGGCTGGGTGAAGGAAACCACCAGTGATTAGCAAGGGAGAGAACGGCTCCATCCCGGCTCCAACCCCCTCATGCTGCAGGTGCCACCTTCAGAGCTGAAGTGGACAGGAGGAAAGGGAAATAGCCCACCTCTCCTCTTTCGCCTTCCAGCCTCATTGGATCCCTCCGATTGGCTGAAATCTGCTGGAAGCCGAGCCTACAAGGGAGCCCACCTAATGCCATCCACAGGCGTCAACCTGCAGAGGAGGTGAAGGGGACTGAGAGTGGACCAGGGAGCGGTTGGCAAGCTGACTGTGAGCAGCCCAGTGGGGGTCCTTCTGCTGGGGCCAGGAAGTTGCCACTCTCCTGACCACACCTTGATGTGCAAGAGCCAAGGATGGGATGTCTCAGACAATGTTGACGCCTGCCTCTGGAGTTCCAGAAGATTGGAATCTCCCATCTGGCAAGCTTCCAAGAGAAGCAGGCTGTAGACCTTCATCTGGGACACTCTTATGTGGGCAGGGCCTCGGCCTGATCTGAGCTCCAGAGAGGGCCTGCTCCGGCCATGCGTCTCTGCTGGGACGCCTGGAGCCTGAGAAGTTGCTGGACTGCCTGTGAATATGCACGGTAGTCATGTTGTTGTTTTTTAATTTGTTTCTGTTTTGAGGCTGAATCTCACTCTGTTGCCCAGGCTGGATTGCGGTGCAGTGGTGTCATCACAGCTCACTAGCCTCGAAATCCTGTGCTCAAGCCAGCCTCCTGCCTTAGCCTCCGGAGCAGACAGAACTATACATGCACACTATTACACTTGGCTTCTTTTATAATTTTTGTGTTTGTAGAGAGGGGTCTGTCTGGCATGTTGCTCAGGCTGGTCTTGAACTCTTGACCTCAAGTGACTCTCCCACCTCAGCCTTGCAAAGCACTGGGATTACAGGCATGAGCCACTGCACCCAGATTTCATTGGGATGTATGGCTGATGCTGTCCTGCCCTTCTAGAATGTGTGGACCACATGTTGGCAAGGGCATCCTCAAGCCCAATGCAGAGGAAGATGAAGGAAGGTTTCTCCACCCCAGGACAGTATCCATGTTTAGCCCACTTGGAAGGGTGAGGAAAAAACCCTGGAGTTCATGAGGTCATGTGGACTTCAACAGCATGAACTCTAAGGAACAGCTCATGCCTTCACAACATGCAGCAGGAAGTACTATGACTCTCACGTCACCCAGGACTCTTGGCTCCTCATCTCTCCCAGGTAGCTGGTCACTATCTTCCATCTGCCTCTTCCAGGTCCGTCCCAACACACCCAACAATGGGAACAACTGCTGTAATTGCATCTCATTTATTCCTTACCACTCAGAAATTGATCTAGTCGGGGTGGGGTGGCCCTGGAAGACGGTTCCTTAACCTGGATAAGAGTGTGGTCTCAGAACCCATCAGACAGAGGCGAGTAACACAGCTGAGCTCTCGCTTGCTGTGAACATTGGCGCAGTGACCTAACTCTTCTGTCCCTTAACTTCTGGCATGAGTACAAATAACATCAGTAACTGCTTCGTAGAGCTGTCATGAGGTGTAAGTTAAATGATGGTTATACATTCGTGACAACAGCCTGCCCTGGTTCTTGTCTGCAAAATAGGAATAATAATCTCTTCTCCTGCATGGGACCTGGCCAGAGTTAAATTAGTCGATATCTGTAAAATATCTGGCACACAGAAAACACTCAATACACGCTAGGTGTTATGGCTACATACAGATGTGGCCTCTAGTCTCCATTCGTGACTTCTCTGTTCAGTAACAAAATCACAAACCAACAGCAGGGCTCATGTTAGAGAATTCTGTGGAGAAAAGAAGGCTCCTGGGGCTGATTTCTCCAGTCCTCCTGCCCGGGCAGGCTGGGATCCATTTCATCTTTTTGTTGCAATGTTTCCTCTCTTGAGATGATCCAACCGCTTGAACACGAAACCAAAAGCAAAATAAGCTGCTACACACGGCAGGGGATCGTAGGAAAACCATAGGAGAGCTGATTTTCACAGGCTGGAGGAGAGCAGCATTCCTCTGGTGCTTCTTTGCTTTGCCCAGGGGTAGAAGGAGCCTACAGGAGACTTCCCAGGGCTGGCTGTCTAGCCATTGTGAACTCAAGGGCCTTGGGAATAAATACAACTCTTTATTTCTGCCCCCCTAGCACTGAGACCATTCCTATAAGCCAAAACAGAGGCTCCACCCCTCTCCTGGGGACAAGGGGCCTAGCCTGGAGGAGCGGCTTTCCCTAAACACATGCATTTCATAGCCCGCCTTATAAAGTGTAAAGAGCATTTCTTTTCAATGCTGCAGCTAAATATATCAGGGCTTGGTCAGCTAGAACATTTTTAGAAAGCACATTACAAATCAGGAATGTTTTGAAGAAATAAATAAACTTTCCCACATTTTTGAACTTTGAGTCGGTACTGCAGCCTCCATCTTGAGAGCATGATGGGTGGGTAAATGATGAATAATTCATCACTGGCACTGCCCAGGGCTCTTGCTGAGTGCACTGGACATTCTGCATGGACTGAAGTTGTGGTGCAGGGATAGACGTTGGGGGAGACACTGTCACAGCGAGGGCAGCCTCGTGTCGCCATAATGGCCACTCCACGTCTAAAGAAGAGAAACAAATGTATCTCCAGTGTGTTGCATTTCTGACTCAGCCATTTTGGTAGGTGTTCACTGCAGCATCCGTATGCGGTCAAAAGACACCCATAAGGCTGTG